CCTGTTGCTGGCCAGACAAGATGGTAACAACCCCAGATTTGAGATTTCTCCCCTCTGCACATCACTAAAAAGTCATTTTATAAAGAAACCTGGAGAAGAAGTATTTCATCTAGTATAGATGAGGTTTTTAAAATTCCATTTGCCTTCCCTCTATATGCAAATCTACGCTGATCTGATGAGGCTCCTATTTCCTGGATTAGACAAGTCAAACTTTGCAAAAACGAGCATACCCTGGTGGTTTCACTCTGTATTTCACAGCCCTCTCTTGACCATGCTGCCATAAGTATTTCAGAGACCTGCCCACCGCTGTCTGAGTTAGGTCTGGGTCAGCGAGAAGCCAATGGTTTGGACAGTGATTAATTAATTCAGCAAAGCAATTAGCAAGAGCTGCTGCAGCTCAGGACATCCCAGCAAGCAGCAGGAGCAAGGTCCCCCAGACAAGGTGTGAGGGGACCCTCAGCAGCAACACATCCCCACTATGGGCTGTGGGACAGGCCTGGCACAGATCCCTCCTGCCTCCTTCCTCCCCCTGCTTCAAGAACCTCTTCTCAGCTTCAAGCAGGGCTGCCTCATTTGGCCACCGAAATCTCCAGGAAGACAAGACTGCCAATGAAACTGGGCCGAGTTCTGCCCATCCTCATCCTGTTCTTTCCACAGCAATCCTTCAAAGCAGCCTCTGAAAACACCTCCCCGACGTGGCTGCCTGGAGAACTGTGCTTCCACAGGTGTAAAACCTTGTTTGAGCAGCAAATGAGACGGGAGAAGACCTGTGACAAGCAGGAGCAGCAAAGATAGCCTGAGGATCCTCGAGAGCTGCAGCCATGGATATTTAAATGCCAAGCGATGTATCAGTGGCTCCCTGCTGAACATAAGGTGGTTTCATCTTTGCAGAAGCAGCACCAACAGCATGTTCACATCAGCTTCACTCTGGCAGCCTGATCAGCAGCAGCAGCTATGACTCCTTGGTTTTTAACTGTGAAATAATCGGGCACTTCAGAAAATTACTCTGGGCAGCACAAACACTGGGGAGTCACTGCAGGTTCAGCTCTGCAAGGCAGAGCTTTAACCACAGCGAAGGTGCAGGCCAGCTAAGCTCTCTGCTCTGCCCTGAGACATCCATCCAAACCCCAGAGAGATCCACGCTCACCATGCCAGTCACAGTGCCAGGCTCTGCTCCATCCCTCCAGTCTGCAGGGAGCTGCTCTGCAGCAAAGGCAGCCTCCCTGCCCCACTGCTGCCTGTCTGCACAGCAATCTGTAAATATTTTGATATTTTGGGCAGAGGAGGTTCTCACTTGTCCATCTGGATTGGAAAATGGACTCATTAACTCCCAACTGTCAGCTGGAAAAGCTGCCAGAGGGTTTCTGCCACATTAGGGAGCAGCAAAGTGCTGCTGCCATGGGGATGGGCAGAGCAGAGGCCCTGTGCAGCCCCAGCTCTCCCCTCATCACTGCTGGGGGAGGGGGGTGATTAACACCCTTTTCCTTTCCCAATTAAACCCCTGCCTCTTGTATCCTTTTTCTGAATCTTCACAGCAAAATCTTCCCAGAGGAGCCACTGCTGGGTGGAAAATTTCCCACCCTAATGCTGGGTGGAAAATCTGCTGCTCAGTGATACAACAAGATGGTCAGAGCAATCCAACCTCCAATCATCATCAGGAATGCTAAACAAAGTATTGGGAAATTTGGTGCCCAAATAACAAAAGTAAAAGGATGTTTCAGCTTCCAAGGGTACTATAACCTGGAGAAGGTATTCTGAACAAAAAAAAAAAAAGACAGCAGAGGAAGCACAGCTCCAAACAAACTCTGTTACCTGACCATGAGGAGTCTGAGCAGGGGTGTGAACCTTCATTCAGAGGACATAGCAATCCCACTCACTAAACCCCAAAAACCCTCCAGGTTCTTGTGGACTCCAGCCATGGACAGAAGGAAAAGCCCCACAGATGATGCCCAAAAGTCCAATAGCAGAGGTGCTGGAAGCCTCTCCGAGGCACACATCTCCTTTCAGTCTAAGCCCTGCACCTGGTGCATTATTTAGTGCCAAGTGAGAAAGAAGCAATGCCTAAGGAAGTGTTAAAGGGCTTTGGGAAGCTTCACCAACCTTTCCAGAGCCGTCAGCTCTGGCTGCCTGGCAGAAGAGACAGCTGATCTGGCTTCCAGATTACAGGCAGCACAGCTCTTAGGGCAACTGTCTCTCTGTGTTTGCATCCAGCTACCTCCAGCAGCTTGAAGTGTGCTCAAAGTGCAAGGAAGCACTTGATCAAAATCCAGCTCACACTGTAGACAGCGAGGAGCAAGCGCCCAAAGCGTTACAGACACAATAACAATCGGATTTGGGGTGGATTTGACAGGTTACAGGTTGATGACACTGCTGCAGTCCCGGTGGAAATGTGGATTGATGCAATTAGCAACAGGGAACTGGAAACTCAGCAGAGGAAAACTGGGAATACATCTATAAAAGATGAGCTGCTGCACCATTGCAGAGAAGCACAAAAATCCTGCGTGAGCTCAGAACAGGAACAAGTTGAAACAGGAGTGAGATGGGCGAAGCGCAGCTCCAAGCTCCCTCCCAGTGCTCAGAACTGTAGATCCAGATTCTAAATTCAAACATTTGCTTCCCCCAGGGAGACTGGCCTAGTTTGACACAGGCATACAACGGGAGAGGGCGTGGGAGTGTCCTGGAGAGATGGGCAGCAGAAGGCAAACTCTGAGCCCAGCCCAGCCAGGCTTTGCTCAGCTGCCAGTGAGTGCAACCACATGGAAAACATGGCAAGATGCAGAAGCAGTGGATGAGACACGCTGCCAAGGTGCGTGGCTCTGCTGCAGGACCAAAAGCTGCACCCCTGAGCAGCCACAGCAGCAGCTTCCCCCGTGCCAGGTCAGCTCCCTGCCCAGCCAGAGCTGTGCTCACACTGGGGCAGTGTGGGCCAGAGGCTCCAGGGATGGCTCGTGCTGGCAGCAGGTCCCCAGCCTTGGCTGACACGTGCTGGAGGTGGGAGTGCCAGTCCCCACAGCCATTTCACTCCAGGAACCTCCAGGAGACACAAACCCAGGCTGGCAGCAGGAGACCGAGGCAGGCTCCTCTCTGTGCCATGTCCCCAGTGCTGGGATCTGTAGCAGTCAGAGCATGAGGCAGCACACCATTTAAGTCTTTACAAGAGTAACCAAAATTACTCTCCTCTGTGAATACTGACAAGCTCCCCACTTCCACAAGCCCTTCACTGCATGTGCCCAACATGGAATAACTACCAAAATGAAGCAGAATAAGGCACCCGAGCAGTGGAGAAGGTGCTTGTGAACAAACCCTGCAATGAGGTTTCTAATGATTGCAAGTATGTACATGTTCTGCTCCAACAAAGCTGGTGGGGATCTGCCAGGCTGAATAATGAGCAGGGACACCACACGCCTTCCATACATAATGGTACAGAAATGGAATATAAGTATATACTGCAGCTCTGTGGAACACAGGGGCTTTTGTAGCCATTTATGTTATACAAAGATTTACATTTGGAAAAGTCATTCTGCTATATCTGGCAGAAATTTCAAGACAAATGGAACCCATACTTATTCACCCAATGATAATACTGAGCATAGGATAAAGCTCTTAAATTCAGAGAACTTTATAAAAATTAATTACTACTTAGTTCACCCTCGTGAGGTGGGAAGGTATTACACCTGCATATACATGAGGACACCAAAGCACAAGTGGATTAAACAGCTCGTTCAGGACCCCAGAGACAGGCTAATTGTTGAAATATGTATGCACACGTGCATCTGTGTGTGTTTGAATGGCTTTGGCCCCTCCAGAGCCTTCCCAGCACGTGGAGGCCAAGCTGCTCTGCTGGGCTCCTCTCACCACAGAGTCCCGGGCATGTCTAATGAAAGACACCAACCCAAAGAATGGGAAGAGGTTTTTTGTGGTTTGCACAGATGGAAATAAAAGCTAGCTTTCAAACAGCCAAGGAACAGAAAACCCATTGTTAAAAAGCTGTGCAGTGCTCCAGTGACAGCTCCTAATCAGTTTGCCACTGAGCAACTCCACACCGAAGCACAACAGACCCGGGAATCCACGTGCCAGCAAACGTTATAAAACCTGGCCCCTGACAAATGAAGAGAGAGCAGGCTGTTGTGGGAATCCAGAGCTTCCCTCTGGCTGCCCTGGCTGCCCTGGGACCCTGGCAGGGGTCAGGAACCCCCCTGGACAGTGCCCCCAGAGACACTGTCTGTGATCTCTGTCCATGGAAAAGAGTTTTCAATCTTACAGGATTAATTACCAGCTCTGAGTGTTTGATATAAGTAATAATTAAGTGTGGCACAGGTGCAAAAGTAGAATTTTAGGATTTTAGATTAGGGGTTCAAAGGGGACAAGATGGAGGAAATTGGGTGTGTCTTGTCCTTTCTCTCCTTCTTCATGCCCTCCATGTTTCACTGTGGTGTTGGCATTTTTCTGTTGGTTCAGGCTGGGGACACACTGTCCAACGTAGGTGACAGATATTGGCACGTTATTGTAAATCCAGCACAGGTAGTTTGTGGTATTTAATGTTTGTACCATCCCACTGAGGGCAGAGCCCCACACGCTGCCCTGCAGGACAGAGCTGCGGCAGGGCAGCAGAACATGTTAGAGATAAACAGAATAAACAACCTTGAAACCAGCACAGACGAATTATGGCTTCTGCTTTGGCAGCGGGGCAGAAAGACAGAGACTTTCTACAATCTCAGAATCATCAATACCTCAGATTCCAACAGCTGTGGAGCCAGGGACAGAGACAGCCCCCCCCAAAAGGTGCTGGCAGCCCACTCCTCCTGCTCCAGTGACCTCCTTGGATGCTTTGCCCACGGCCTCCAGTCCCTGCACTGGGTCACCACGTCCTTCTCTTTATGTGAACACCAGCAAAAGCACACATTGTCATGGGAACAAGCAGCTCTTGGAGCGTCTGCAAGGCTCCTGTCAGAGCTGGCAGGTGCTTCCAGAGGCAGCTATAATTAGCCAGCAGCAGTTACCTGGACGCAGGGTTTGCCACTGATCCGTGGGGTAAAACACTTCCAGGTCTTCGGGATCAGCGTCATCCTCTGTCCCCAGCTCCTTCCCACTGTCATCTTTCATGTCGCTCTCTTCTATTTTTGTGAGGGCAAACTCCTTTTGGAGAGAAGAGATTCAGCTCATTAGCAATTGCATCTGGGTAATTTAGTGCTGGCTGAGAATACAAAAATTTTTCCCTCGCCAGCAGATTTTTTTTTTTTTTGACATCCGAGATTTTTTCCACATGGTTAAATTTAGATTTAAAGTATATTAAAGGTTAAACATGCATAACTAGCATGACATTTGTGCTGAACAAAGCAATGCAGCTTATTTCCTATTCTAGAGCAGGTTGCAGGTTTCAAACCAGCTCTCACAGAGCCTCACCTGTATTTCAGTCAGAGGCAGGAGCCCTGGATATTATTAGGGTTGTGTAACATTGTAAGACCCCATTTTCCCCTGCCTAAAAATATGTCAAACTTTTAACTTTTTCAGCTGAAATTTTCCACAGGAGTGGAATGCCTCAAGGCTTGTTGGTTGATTTGAGGTTTGGGTTTTTTTTGGGTTTTGTGGTTTTTTGGTTGTGTTGGTTTTTGTTGGTTTGTTTTTTGGTTTTTTTTTCTTAAATGCATTTATTTCAGGCTTGGAGAAGATTTCAGCTAAAATAGTTCAGCTGTTTCCAAAATAGGACATGGGAAAAAAACCACACCGAGTTGCCCATATGATACAAATGTGAGGATCCTCTTCTCCACCCGCTCCCAGTGTTCTCCAAGTCTTTTAAAACAATGAGGCACAGATTTAATCACCACCTCCATGGCAAGTGCAGCATGAGGCTGGCAGAGGTGTGGGACAGCAGCCAGCACGAGCGGTTCCACGTTACACCAAGGGAAGAACAGGGGAGAACAGCAGGGGAAAAATCCTTGCTGTGAAAGAAACCTTTGTGTTCAATGGAAAACCTCCCTAGGGAGCTGGTGGGAGTCACAGAAAACTCTGCAGAGTGCACAGAAATGACCTCTACTCTCACACCAGGCACTGACTCCTGGGTCTGGGCTGTTCTGGTTCCAACAGGAACAGATTAACTGGTCCAGGCTCATCATCCCCACAGCTCAGTGTCTGCTGAAGGGAATATTTTCAGCTTCTGAGATCACCAATTCAGTCACTACTGAAGAATTTGAGATAACCACCCTACAGGGAATGATTAGTCCTAATTGTTTGCAATTAGGATAGAGTTACAGCTCACTTCATGAAGTGTTTGGATCTTAATCCTTAGGATGTTTTCACAGGGAAAAATGTAAGTAAATTCAGAGGTTAACTGGAAATTCTGGGACACATTCTGCCTTCAGTTCTTCCACTCTTTGGGAAAAAATGCATGCACATTTTCTGTCAGAATTTGGATGCTCTGCATATAAATATCCATTTCCAGCCTTGTCTTTCTGAGCAACAGAAATGCCAACCTGAGCAAAACACACACAGTAGCAATGACAGTGTGGATGTGGCACTTGGGGACGTGGGTTGGTGGTGACCTTGGCAGAGCTGGATTAAAAGTTGTACTCAATGATCACAAAGGTCTCTCCCAACCCAGACAATTCCACGATTCCATGATTGTGGTAACACACAGAGATGGCTGACAAACCTATAGAATGTTTTTATTTCAGCTGTGGAAAAGGACTGCAATTTCAGAAATGCACGAGAAAGCGGATCTTAACTCCTGCTTTTGCTGAGTGCATCACGAGCTTGGAATTGTTCAAATTATAACAAATGCTTAAAGCTCAGGAACAATCACAGCCATAAAAGCCCAGGTTCTGCAGATGAAAATCAATGTTAACATTGAGCCAAGACTCAACAGGACTAAAATGGAGTGAGTGGAGCAGTTATTACTCAGCTGATTTCCACAGCTCTGTGATTATCCAGGAGGGAGTTAGTGATACAGGCTATTGTAAATTTACCACCAGGCCTCCCAGTGCTGGATCTGTTCAAACACATAATGGAGACAGCTGATGTTTACCAGCTCTGCTCAGGGAAAGTGCTGGGGTTTAAATGCTCAGTAAGGATAAAAGGATGTGACTTGGTTCATTTAAGTGTTGCTGTCACTGCCTGGCCACACTTGCTTTGCAACACCCCATTTTCATTAGCATTTCCAGCAAAAACGGGCAGCACCATTCAAGCGATTCTTCATTTACACAGAAATCAGTAGAACCCTTTCTAGTTTGTTTTCATAATTCAAGCAGGAGAAAGAGGTTTCCTAAAGAATAATGGGCATTTCCTTAGAGGCAAAAAGCATCCATGTTTTATCAGTCTGAAATCAAGCTGGAGCAGCCAAAACTTACGGGCGCTCTGTGGCTGGAGCAGGAGAAGAGCACAGACCCCAGCAGCAGCAGCAGGCTGACTCTGGCAGTGGTGGAGAGGAGCCCGGCCCAAGGAGACATTGCCACCAGCCTGAAATGAAAAGCAAAACAAACCCCACGGTGTTTTTTTTTTCATTTTCGCAGGTTTCAGGACTCTTTACACAACACTTTGCAACGCAGCGTGGGATCAGGGGTGTGACACGGCAGGAAGCACAACACCTCGAGGTGTGAGCACACAGAGCTCTTGGGGGGCTCACTGCTAATGGGCTTTGTGACAGGTAATGCCAAGCAACTTATACTGACCCCACAGGGGATAATATCTTTCCTGGAAAATATGTGCAGACCTGCCAGACTTGTTTAAAATCACTGTGTCAGTGCAATGGATGACAACTACAGGGAAAAATAAAAAGCACTGCAATCCCATGAAGGCTTTTTATGCCTGTGCCTCATTTTAAGCATAGAAGTAGCTGCATTAATTCAAATTAAACAAAACGACCAGCTGTCCAAGGATCAGGGGTTCATCTAATCCATATGTAGGTTTTTCTTGGGGAAAACAACATTTTGCAGAGGTCAGCAAGGTTTCCTTGGTGGTTCCTACAGCACAAGGCTTTCCCTGCTGCTTAGAGCAGAGGCTCAGCCCAGCCATGGGCCAGGAGCTCACGGGGGACCAGGGAGGAGAGCCATGGCACAGAGCCACCCTGATGGACCACAGAGCTCCTGCTGAACAGAAGAGGGGAGAATGAGGGGCTCTGCTGTCACAGGTGCCAGTGCACGGAGCTGTGTGCCCACCCTGCGTGTCAGCACACACACGTGTGCCCCAGTGCCTCACACACGGCTCGGGATCCACTACAGCCCCCGGCTCGCTGCTGGGCTGGGAGTGCAGCAGCCTGCCAGCACACAGCCTGCACAAGTATTTCCTTTGATTGCCTCTAAATTTACATGCTGCTAAATTAAACTAAATGAGGTCTTTTGAAAGAAGATAGGACTGATTAGTTCCGTTCAAACACTCCTTCATTACTCATCCCTCCATCAAGTCTGCTCCTACTCCTGTCCAGGTTTTAAAGAAGTTCCTCCCCTACACGCAGTCCGAAATATCTTGCTTTGCTGTCCATCAGGATGGCACATCAGATAGCAGAGTTCTCCTTCCCTGAAGCAACCACTTTGTGTCCAACAAAGCAGAAAAGCTGCTCACAGCAGCACCCAACACCAGCTCCCAACACCAAAGAGCCTCTGCCCCCAGAAGCCTTCAGGGACACGGAGGGAAGCCTCCTCTCCTTCCACCCTTTCACTGGTACCTTCTCTCTCCACTTTGCTACTTCTTCCTCTCCCTGCTTGGTTTTTGCCAGAAAAAGAAAAAGCAACCCCCCACACGCCACTGGTCATGGTGGACAGGAGCAGGGAGCAGAGGGAACAGTGCACCTGATCTACTTCTGCATCCTCCAGAAACTCCTGAGCAGGGTCTTCCTGAACAACAGCCTCTACCTCTGAGCCACCTCTACCACATCAACTGCCTTTTTCTCATTAATTGGTTTTGGAACAGATCTGGATTTCTGACACCCACAGCATCCCTGAGCAATGAGTTCCCCTGCTTAACTCACAGTGCAGGAAAGCATCACCTCCCCTTTCCTCCTTCAGTGCCTCTTCTTTTCTAAAGGGTCAAAGAACTACCTCAAGGACCCACAAGCCCTTACTAAACCACAGCTGGAGGAGAAGAAAAGCACCCTATTTTCATAGGCCAACTGGTGGCCAGAGCCTCCATTTCTCTCCTGGGACAGGGCCAAGCAAAACCAGGTTACAACCAACACCCAGGCTCCTGAGCTGGCACACCCAGAGCACAATGCACAGCCTCAAACTCCCTCTGCTCCCAGAAGATCTTGATCCTTGTGCCCTTCTGGACAGTCCCACAGTCATGACCTCAGCCCAGTGTGACCACAACACACAATTCCTTCTCATCTCAGAATGAACTGCTGCTTTTTACACAGGAAACAGGTTTTTGGGCTTGGTTGAGGGTTTTTTTTCAGTTATAAAACAAGCAGCAAAACTGGAATAATGAAAAATAGATGTATCCCTCAAACTTTATCTGCAAGCCTGGAAATAAAAAGAAGGGAAAAAAAAAAAGAAAAATTCAACAAAGCAGTGGCTGAAAGCAAACGCACACTCCCAATAAAAATAGAGCTCACGTGTACCGAGGAGGCTGCTAGCAAATGACAGCACAGCCTCTTTCAAGCCTCCAGCCTCCTGCCTGCCTGGCAGATGACATCTGCACAACAATTAGCACTTTGCTTCGGTCCCAGGTAGGCAGGAGGAGCCAACATGTGCAACAGGGGCCTCTGGAGCTCCTGGAGAGCACCTGCACAGGCTGACATCTCCTTACAGACAGACCCACGTCGAGGGCAGCCGAGGATTTCCACACTGAGTGCTCTGTGGACACAACGATGTCCAGAAACAACCCCTGCAGCCTGTGAAGCAGAAGGGTGGTCATGGTGACCCCATCTGCACAGGGAATGTTTGCCAGGATTTGAGGGTATCTTTGGGGAAACAGCACGTACAGCAGCCAGGCAGCAGCAAGGCTGGACTAGGAAGGCCACAAATTCCCCTTGTGCAGAGTGGAGGGGCTGATTTTTTTCTTAATAATCCTTTTTGTCAAACAAAATCACATCCCACACCGAGCCCACGCTGCCCGTCCTGTGCCACTCCAACAAATCCACGGGAGCCTCATCTGAGCTCTGATCTGCTGCTCCAGGAGAGAACACAGACATCCCAGAGCTCCGCAGCCCCAACATCAGCCTCTGGCTTTGCAGCCAGCTGGAAGCCGAATTCCGGAATCACTGAGGTTGGAAGAGACTTCCAAGACCATCAAGGTCAAGCTGTTCCCAGAGCACTCAGTGCCACCTCCAGCCCTATCCAGGACACCTCTGGGGATGGGGACTCCAAACCTCCCTGGGCAGCCCCTCCCAAGGGCTGACCACCCTTTCCATGGGGAAATTCCTGCTGCTGCCCACCCTGAGCCTGCCCTGGCAGAGCTTGTAGGCCATTTCCTTTTGTCTTGTCCCTTGTTCCTGGGAGCAGAGCCCGACCCCAACTTGGCTCCAGCCTCCTGGAGAAGGTTCCCCCTGGCCTCCTTTTCTCCAGGCTGAGCCCCTTTCTCAGCTGCTCCTCACAGCACTGTCCAGTCACTGTCTGTTCCCTTCCCAGACACGCTCCAGCCCCTCCATGTTTTCTTGCCATGAGAGCTCAGAACTGGACACAAGATTTGAGGTCCCTCAACAGTGCCAGCACAAGGGACAGGCACTGGTCCTGCTGCCACCCCAGTGCTGATACAAAAACACCAATTATCTCTAAGAATAAGCAATAGCAATAAGCTAATCCTTGTTTTCACCTAGGGATGGTCTGAGGGAGCAGGATTGGTATTACAGTCTTGCAGATGAACAAATTCAGGCCAGGTTTCTGTCCAGCAGCCTCGCTGAGATGGCAAGGGGAGCACCAGCAGCACATCACATCGTGTGCCTCCCAGCACAAAACACCAACAGAGCTCCCTTGCTGAGTGCAGGGCAGAGATGGGAGCCCTCAGGAACACGGCCCAGGCGCTCCAGCTGAACCACGGCACAAAGACCTGTGCACAAACGCACGGCCGGGCCCACCAGGACAGGCTGAGTGATGTGCAGTGCCAGGGAGAAAGAGAAGGAAATGCAGCTGACCTGACCTGCAATTTTCCTCCTCTGAGCAAGAGAGTCCCCAGGTCTGTGAGGAGCACTCATGTTTGCTGGTATGCCACAGACACCTTGGCAGTACCCTGTGGGCAGCTGTCCCTCCTGCTTGATGACTGTACAGCTACACCAACAGGTGAAAGAGGAGGCTGAGAGCTGAAATTCAGCCTGTGCCAGGACAGGAAACAGTTGGTGGGCAAAGAGAGGATTCCTGGGAGACCACAGAGGATTATTGGGAGGCCACAGACTTATGCCTTTCCTCAGTCACTAGTTAGGTCTGCACAATCCTGTGCTTTCAAGAAGGACAACCTGCACACACCATCACCTGAGGTGAATGCCTGGGATGATCTCAGAAGCTCTGCTCCAGGCATCCTGTCCTCAGGAAAGCACCCCAGTGCCTCCAGTGGGTGTCCCCAGCCCCACTACAGTCAGAGCCCCAAGCCCTGCCAGAGGGTCCTGCCTGGGCACAAGGACAGCCCAGGGAGCAGCAGTTGTTTCCAAGCCCCCTCACACCTCCAGGATCTCAGTGGAGAGGGTGTAGCTGCCATACAGACCATTCCATTCATGTCACTTATGAAATTGCTTTAAAAAAAACATTTATTCTTCTTGCTTGCTCCTCATCATTTACTCCTACTAGGACTCTGCTCTGGCGTGTTAAAAACACTCCTACACAAAGGGAAAAGTTGTGGGAACACCTTCTTGCTGCCTACAGGGAACCCACACAGCAAGGAAGCCACACTTTGGGGTTGGCAGGAATAAGCCGGGCTGGCTGGCCCAGCCTGGGCACAGCAGCAGGTCCTGCTCCCACCTGCAGCTGAGGCCCTGTTCCAAACTGGAACCAGCCCACAGGAGGGAACTGTGAACCGGCACAGGGCGGGAGGGGCAGGATAACCATGGCACAAACACATGTTTACAGAGCTTTGGCATCTACGAGCACTCACACAACCTTTGTAACCGCTGCTAACAAATAATAACAATAAATATTAATAACCCCTCCAGGCTCCCTGTGCAGCCATCAGCTCACATCAGCCCCTGGAGCAGCAGCTTGGCCACGACGCCACCCAGCACATCTCTGGCAGCACTGCCAGGTGCCAGGAGCAGAACAGGGATGTGCCCAGCAGCAGAGACAGCCCAGCAGTGCCTGGGCACGCCGGGGGCAGCTCTTGGCACCAGCAGCTTCACCAGCACTGCCACAGCTCCCCCAAGAGCAGGGGAGGGAGTTGTTGTGCATCACTTGGACAAAGCCAGAACCGCCCCTTCTACCCGGCCACAGCACCCCGACCCTGCTGTTTATACAACTCACACAGTTTAACACTGAGCATCGTTTAGTCTATCATTTAAATGGACTTAATTAATTCGTTCAGCAAGCTGCATTCACACAAAA